TACAGGATTTGCTGTTGGCTATTCATGCACCCTGATTCCCAGAAGAAGCAGCAGTCCCTGAACATGAGAAGACATCACCATCTGACCTTGGACACTATCTGTGTACTTAATGTACCTCACTGCAGATATGTCCTAAACAAAGAACCAACTAATAAAAATTAAAAAGATTCTATGAAAAATGTTAATTATTAACACACAGATTTGACCCATGCCAAGGTTTTACATCACGAATAAGCAGCATATGAGGCACTTGTCCTTTTATTAACATGTGAATATGTTAATATGATACAAGTGACATTTAGGGAAATGAATAGCCCATTATTCCATAGGGGTCTCATTAAAGACAACCTCTCCTAAGGTTGCTTGATGGCAAATTTCCTAAGTGGATTAGTAGGAAGCATGGAAAAAATGAATGAACTTTGCAGTGACTGCTCTTTATAATGACTGCAGGTAATTAAAAAGACCAGAGGTATCTGGAGAATTGTAGGTCTAATAATGGTGTAACAGTACTTTAAAAACATCTAACGATGGAGTTAATTGAGCTTTAGAATTTATTTAGGCAGTCCTTGCATTAACAAGTATCTTTATGCGATAGAGGAATTAGAAGTTAAATATTGGTTCAATAAGTCTTTTAAGACTTTTCCTATTTGCAGTGTTAGCCATTATTAAATACTAATGTTTAGGTAAATTATAGTGCTGAAATCTTTTCAGTATCAGAAAATGTTGCCCTGAAAACTCATTAGCTTTCGGCCACCATGTTCACAAAAAAATACGAGACAAAATAGGTGCTTAAGGCAGTTCTACAAGCTGAGTACAAATCCAGAAACTAAGAGGACATGATCAGGTTCAGGAAGGCATCACTACTCACTGCCTTCCCCTGTGAGCTCTGTGAAGAACAAGGGGAGAGCCAGCATTCTGGGGGAAAGACTATCTTTCCAAATAGCAGAGAGGTTTATTTTTATCCTGGCTCTCGGGAGAACTGCATTCTCTATATGTAAATGTTTAAAGTGCATATCTCAGCTGGACAGATGAGGATCTGATTTTCTTGGGCGGGATTTAGTTCATTTAACTGCTATGTTTCTATATCTTAATAGCGTAGTGAAGCAGCCCTTTCTTAGGAAGTCCCTAAGTTCCATAGATAGTCAAAAGGAGGAAGATAAATGGCTTTAAAGCACCAGAAAAGCTCATGTACACCTAACTCCTGTACTCAAACTTTGAAGAGTAAGAACTTCCTCTGGAGATTTTCATGATCACCTAATACTTTCCATTTACAATAAAGTGAATTTAAGCATTTCAGAAAAACTCATCTTCAGTTTTAAAATACGGCTCTGTTAGATGCATAATTTGGCTGACCAGCATCCAAACATGCACTTCAATAAATAAATTACTGTGTCTTTGTAAGGACAAAAAGTTGTCAGGTACAAATTCTAACCACAAAGATAAAGGGAGAAATTTGGATAAAACATTTCTTTGGTGACTGATTTCATGACAACATAAAATGTTCAGCATTTCACATCATAATAGCCAGCAGAATGCTGGAATTCTTGAAGTTCTCCAAGCTGTATTACACCTGGATGGAATACTAAAGCAGAAAAGACAGTGAAGCCAAGCAGACAGCATGGCTATAGCAACACTGTTGGCAGACATTCCTGCCACATGGAGGAATTAAGAAAGTGTTTGCTTACTCCACCATCTAATGACTCTGAGCTGGTAGAGGAAATCATATCCAGAACCAACAAAGCAGTAATAATAATAGCAGTAATATGGAATTTCCCATACTTTTCTGCATTCTAAGGCAGAAAAGCTATTAAATTCACTATAGCCATGCTGTCTTGTAGGCAATCTAGTAGCAGCAAGAATGACACTGAGCTCTGGAGGCCTAATCTCACTGAGCAACAGTCAAGCCATGTCTCCTTGATGTGCCCTTTCCAGGCCAGAACCGCAGAGTCAACCATACCCACCCAGTGCAGTCTCCTGACCTTCAGCCTCATGCTCTGACTCCAAGGCAAAGTCAGTACTTATCTGGCTGCAACTGTATTAAAAAAAAAAAAAAAAGAAAAGAAAAGAAAAAAAGTGGCTTTGTAATTATTTTTTTTTTTTTTTGTATTCTCACCATCTGAAGACTCCATATATTTTTTTCTGCTTTGCTGTACTGCCTTCTCTTTTTCTAACCTTCTCTGAAACTGTCTTCCCATTTCTCTGTTTAATGCTCTATTGGTATATTTTATAATTGCAAAACATTTTGAGAAGTATTTGCATGAAAGACACTGTCCTGAGGAAGGGCCAGCTCACACTGTGCTGTTTGCACAAAAAGCCAGAAGGAGGAAGAGCAATAAAAGAGCAACTTAATTACTTTGGAGCTGCAGCACTTCCCACTACCATGGCCTCTGCATGAGGTGCTGACACAGCCACCAGAGTTGACTGAGAGGCCTGATCTTGCTGACAGCTCCTCTGGTGCAGCTTTACGCAGTGCCACTGAGCAGCTCACAGCAAAAGGACAAGCCACAAAGAGCAGCAGGACATCAGTGATGTGACCCAATCTAAAACACTTAAAGAAATACCAGTGACCTCCAAGAAGCACAAAAGCCTTTCTGCCCTGTTCTCCTTTGCTGAACAAATCGTACTCTCTTCCAGCAGTGCTGTTCACCTCCCCTTGAGAGCTGCTTTATTCAGGAAAAGATTGAAAAATCAGAGCACAGCTGCAAAAATGAATTCCCACTCATTGCCTAAGTACTGGTATTTTTTGTAGCTGTACAAGATAGGATGATATGACCTAACCTACATTATGTAGGTTGAGATTGTGAGACTTACTGGATAGATCCAGATCTGACTTCTGAGTTTCTTCTAGAGTCAAGGATTACTACTGACTATGGCTGATGGTGTGGGATAAGCATGGTCGTCAGTAGGAAGCACTTAGGAATTTCCTTATTCCTCAAAGGATTAGGCTTTGAACTAAAATCCAGTAAAGTGATAAAAGTCCAAGGGATCACAATTCATTTTCTTTAGAAAATAGTGATTTTTGTGGCCAGTGCTAGCAACAGCATGCCTGGCTCAGCAGTCACTTCTGCTCTGTTGCATCTACCTTTCCTTGTCTTCCTCCTGCTCGACCTCGGGGAAACTCTTGCTGTATGTCCCAGCTTGCAATTCCACTGCTAGAACAACTGAGCTATAACAGAAGTATTTCTCTTGGCTTCTTTCTTTTTTCAAGATCGAATCCTTTTGCTTTACCACTTTTGCTGCTCCTGTCTCCTTAGAGTTTTGTACCTGGGCCCCTCTCTGCAAAATCAATGTTGAGAACTTTAATGCACCATCTGTCTCTGTTTATATCCAGTGACATCCCAGATACAGGGCTTGTACCAAAGAGTCCTCTAGTCTGAGTACACAAATAAGAAAAGATATAGCAAATTCTTGGTATTTTTTAAAATGGTTTCAGCAGGGTTCTTCACAACTAATCTAATCATTGCCAATAGTGTAGTAGGTGTCTACAATTTTTCTTTCCCTACAGTTTCAACAGGCTTTGTGTCTTATTTCCACAAAAGATCATGCAATCAGCAAGTTCACTGTCAAATGTGCCCTTTTCTGCAGTGGCTGCAAGTTGAAGTGAGGCAGTGGTCTGCTTCCAAGTTAGGGATATCATAGCACTAACGGATAGGCTATTCTTTTTGTGTTCAAATACCATGCACATGACTTTCCACCCTGAAAAGCCATACCTAAATTATAAAAACACCCCCAAATCCACAAAAACATTTACTTCCTTTTTCAGAGGTGAAACAGAAAGGGCATTTTTGCCACTTCAAAGCCAACCTCATCTCTTTTTTATGCCATTGCACTCACCGGTTTTATCAAAGAGAAATATGGTTCAGTCTTGGGAATTATTTTCCCTTTAAGGTTTATACTTATTCATATGTCTTGTTCTTCCAAAAGTGACTGTACCGTGATATTCCAAGTTACTCTTCTACTGAAACTGTGTAGACTGTATCAAAGAAAGCACAATTCACAGGAGTGCCTCCACAGCACATTAAGAACTGCACAGTTCCCTAAGAGCAATTTAAAATGAAGAACAACCTTTCCCAACATCCTTTCAGAACTTCACATGGACATTAGCCAGATACAAGACTGAGCTGCAGAGGGTGCATTAAACTCCCCATCTGCTCTTCACAGTGCTCATCACTGATTTCTAACCCACAGTAAAGTCATTTGGCCAAAAAAATCATAGTGGATGAGACAAGCATACCAGAAGCCAGCTGAGCCTTTCCTTCCACAGTGTCCACAGAAGAAAATGCGCCTGATCCAGCCAGTATTTTCTCACTATTTGATTCCAGAGCATGTGATATCTGTAGGTAAGTCATGATCCAAATAAACTAGGGAAGCCAGATTTTATTGTTATTTACACTACCTTATAGTCACTATTTCAGCTGGCCTTGGCACAACTATTAACTCACTGCCATGTACATGATATCAGAGTATCCCTGAGAGACCTTGAAAACTTGGAAGAGTTTTAGAAATACGCCTGCAAGTTTCCACTTCCCAGGGAGCCGCTTTTCTAACCCACTCCCTCGCTGTGCCCAGCTCCCGGTTGTGCTGCCACTATCTGACCCTATGCAGACGGTTTGCCCCGAAGGAGCGCGCGTTTCCCACGGGTCGCTCTGCCCTGTGGGATACGGACTTCACATGGTCTCTTTGGAAAAGGATCAGCCCCGGGGATGTATGCTGTGGGACAGCCGTGGGATGGTTTGTGCGATGGCCGGTGACTTCCATCCTCCAACGCCAGTGAGGCAGGGGGGGTTCACCTCCCCTTCCACGTGAGCGCAGCGCCTCTCCCAGGCTCGCACACAGAGGGCGCGCTGGGCGGGCGGGACGACCCCCAGTCCCCAGCCCTTAGCCCCTGGCACAACTCAGACCGCCCGTACGGGGCGATGCGGCAGCGGCTGCTCTCCTCCTCCGCGGCCCCGCAGCAGTGAGAGACACCGGACAGAGGGCGGCGGGGCCGGGCGGGGGCCGGGCGGGGGCCGGGCCGGGGGCGGTGCTGCCTCCGCGGCCGCGCGGGACAGACGGCAGCGGGAGCCGGGGCCGGAACCGGAGCCCGAGCCGGGCAGGAGGAGGCGCAGGGGGAGCCGGGCGTGGTGAGCGGAGAGCGGTGAGCGGAGCTGCCCCAGCCCCAGCGGGGCGGCCGCGGGCAGGAAGGTGCCGCGCTGCCGGTTGCGCCTGAGCCGGAGCATCCCGGCGGGGTCAGCCGCCTTCATTTTCCAGGGGAGGTGGGCACTCCGGGTTTGGGGTGCTTTTTTCCCCCCTGCTCTAGTACCCCGTGCGCGTTGTTCGTGCCCTCGGCCGGCAGGGCTGCCCGGCGGCCGGGCGCTGTTGCTCGCACGTCCCGCAGCGCCGGGGCTGCTCCTCCCGCTGTCCGGCACCGGCTGAGCCGGGTCCCGGCGGGTTTGGGAAGCCGCCGTGAGCTCAGGAGCAGCGCCCGCCGTGCCTCGCCAGTGCTGCTGCTCCGAGAGAGCCTTCTCAGCGGTTTGCCTGTCCTGTGCCGTAACCAAGGGCATTTGATTTTCAGAAGCGTTTAACTGAGGTACGTGTTAGGCCTGTGTTTTGTAAAGAACCTGTTTTTAGCCCGACTGACTTCGTGGTTTGTCAAAGTGTTTGAATTGAATGAACGCTTCTTCGGTTCGGAGAAATTGCTTTTGTTGGAGGCAGAAAGGGGAACGTTCTAGGAGAGCGTGGAGACAGCATCGGGGTTGTGCTGGTTCTGGAAGGAGGGATGCGGAGAGAAGGGAGGCACAGGCTAGTTTCCATCGCTGAAAGATACTGCAGACCAGGGGTGTGATAGTGCAGAGCATTGGGTCATCACTGTGCAAGCACATTCTTGGCTCTGTGGGCATAGATTACCCATCATAGATTGCCATGCGTGTGCTCTTTCACATTGTTTGCAGGAAGATGGCGGGAAAAGAATTGCTCCCTCTGCAAATAAATTGTAACATGCCTATCTAACGTACTGACAGAAGAGCTGAGCTTAGACAGCACAGCAGTAGAAAAAAGAAAACAGGATGGGTGCACAGAGACTTTATGTCTAGCTAAAAGCTGCAGGCTGTTACAACATCATTTTGGTAGAGGTAATAAAGTTTGGAACAGAACAAACTCTTCCTACGCTTGCAAATGCTAAACAGTTAGAGGAAAATTGTGAAAATAGTGGTAAAGGGCTGAGCATTTGCCATGTTGATTCACATTTATATAAGCAAAGACTGTTAGGAATGCATATTGACTATTATTAAATTTAATTCTTAGTTAATTATAGTAGAATGGGAGAAAGGTGGAGACGTATAAAATCTGGACCCTACAGGATGTATATCATGCTGGCAGTTTTATTCTGATAAGGGATCCAGATGGAGGGTTGATGTCTGTTTCCTTGTGATTTTGCTTTTACTGTCATTATGAACCCACTATGACTTTTCTGTGCCTGAATAGACCAAAACGAAAGGCAACCTGAAACCACCAGCTGCTTTCTCTCTATAATGCCTAGAAGGGCTTTTTCTCTTTAGAGATTGTTGCTGGTTGTAGCTGTATACTGGCTGCCTTCGTTCCCCACTTCTTTCTCAGAATTGGTCATTCATGTCACCCGAGGTGGGGGAAGGAAAGGCAGGCATCTCACCCCTGTCTCCCTCATGTTTCCCCAGCTTTCCTCTGCTCTGGTGAACAGGCTTGCCTGCCTGCTGACTGCTACTTGCTATATCTAGTAAGTGTGCTTTGCTGTCAAGAGGATAAATGCTGTAGGACCATGAACTGATGGGGAAGGGGTCCTGGGCTATTTCAGCATCGAAGTCTAATCTGGTACTGTCACCATGTAGATGACTGTATGTATATGAAGTTATTGCTGTTTGCATTTTGTTAACTTATTCAGATGTAAAAGGCTGAACTGGGATAGCTCGTGTCTGGCAAGTGTCTTTGTTCATAGTTGGGTCTTAGTGGTGCAGTGGAAATTATAAGCTTATTCTGTAAATTCCTCATCAGAGCCAGGAAGCAATGCAGTTTTTCCCTCTGGCACCCTATCTATGCAGAAGAAGAAGAGGAATTATCTTAACGACAGAGTGTATTCAGAAGTTGCTGAAAAATGTGATGTTTCTGATAGGTTTGAGACTTGGAATTTTAAAAGTCCATTACTAAAAAGTCAATATATTTTCACCTCTACCTCCTGCACTCTTTTGCAAGCACTCCTCCCCCTGTGTCTTCATGACTCCGGTTACCTCCTTTTCCTGGCTTGCGCAGAGGAAATCCTGTTATGACACAGTCGATCCATGGCGCTGCTGCAAAACCCACCTCTTAGCCTGCCACTTCATCTGCATCTCCCTTCTTTGTCAGTCCTTCTGCTGCTCCCCCTTCTCCCCTGCATCGGACATGTCAGTCGCAGGCTTCACTTTCAGGTGTCCCCATACATGATGTACCACCTCTCCAGCTTTACCAAGACATACCCTCTGGGCTTTGATCAGCCTGTATTCTCAGCATCTTTCTCCCTCAAGCCATCATCTTTTTGTTTCCCCAAGCTCCACCTTGCACTTACTTGTAGTTTCATGTAGGCACCTTGTCCATCATTTCTTTAATTTCCTTGAAATGTCCCAGCACATTTGTTTTTGCTTTGATGCCTTCAGCATCTGGTGAGATGCTTAAGACCAGCCTTCACTGCTGCTGCCACCATCCCTGTCACTGGAATTACTCTGGCTCTGGATTTGAGCACAACGTTGTCCTCTAAAGCTAGGACATCTGAGAGGCACTTCTTGAAAGATCACTCCATCTAGCACCAGCAGAAAGTCTCCTTTCATAGTCCATGTTATCCTTGCTTGCTCTTTTTTGGCATTTCAGGTGCAACCCTGCCCCCTTATGCTTACATAGCTCAGCATGGTTCAATGTGACTCCCTTTGCAATAGTGTTGTTATCTTCGCCTAAGTTATTGCAGACTGTTTTGCAAACAGTGACTATATGTAAATATAAGGCACACAAACACAGATAGGATAATGCCATGGTCTCTTTGTCAAGGGAGGGTGTGCATGCAACCTGCATTGATAAAATAACGAATGTCATAAGGATAGAGATCTTTGTTATATCAGTGAGGGGAAACAGAATCAAAGGAGAAGGTTGTTTTCTTACTTTTCTTGGTAAAGTACGCTGAGCCACTGGAGTCTGGAAGCAGAGTTACAGTGATAGTTACTGTGATAGCACATTTGTGCCTAAAATTCCCTTGCATTTAAGTTCACAGTATGTAATTGGTACTACAATCTGCCTTTTTTGGAGAGAAAAAAAATCTGAAGCAAAATGATGCATTAAGAGAGATTCCTTTTGAGCCAAGTGTACAAAATTCTGTCCTAGCTTTATATTGTGTCAGGATTTCTAAGTTAAAATGAAATCTGCTTGACATTTTTGGGTTTGATATGTACTATATCCTTTGTTTTTATAAAATACTTTGAAGCCAGTATGTCAGCTGAATTTTACAATAGGAAAGTGTTTTCGTATTAATCCGGACTCCACTTACTGGGTCACAGCTTCGTTAGTTAAGAACTAATAATCCCATTGACTAGCAAAGGTAAAGGCCACTTATTGTTCAGCAGAGCCCCTTGCTGAAGTCTGCACAGAGGTCTCCCGAGATGAATGTGCCCATATGGAGTGAGAGATGCAGGCTCTCAGGTACACTCCTGTGTGCAGCCACCTCATCTGGCACTGGGCAGGTTGCTGTGCTGCAGCACTGAAAGAGACAATAGAGATCTCAAATCCATTCCATTCCAGATTTAGCCACATTTTGTCCTAAAACTGTATTCCTTGTACATGAAGGGGACTATGCCAATATTTCTGAGGGTTTTTTCCCCCCTTTACCTGGAGGAATGCTGAACCTGAGGGTCTGAGCCCTGCAAGTTGTTAGCCTCACATGTGAGCCTGATGGAAAATGAAAGCAGGCTCTGATAACAAGGACTGCTTGCCCTGGGGCTTGATGTTTTATCTGGTAGGTTTTGCTCTGAGTAAGCAATGTGGAGGAGCTGAAGCACTGCCCCAGGAGAAGTCTGTGTGGCTTCAGGAAGGGCAAACACAGTGCACAGCCCTCCACTGCACTGGCCATTTGGCCCCAGTTGTGGAGCCCAGCGCCAGTCTGTTTGTGTCAAATTTAAAAGGTGGTTATCAGCAGCCCATGTTAAGAGTCAGGCATGAGGTAGCAAAGTTTAATTACTTTTTGTTTGTTCTGAGACTAATTACATCACCACTGCTCTCCCCTATCCCCCTCCATCCCCCCACCCCCAGGCTGGATGGCATCTTCTCCTGAAAGGCTTATCAGTGTCAGTGGGATGCTCCACACAGCCACTTGTAGCTTTGGCAAGGAGGGGTAGCAGGAATGGGATGACTCAACCATGAAAGGAGACAACAAGGCAGGAATAGTTGAAACATTTTCATATACTTGTTCCACTAAGGAAAATGGATTTTAGCGGAATTTTCATTTCTCATTAAGCAGCCATTCCACACTACACTAAATCTTCTATTCAAACAAAACTTCCAAATCTGGGGTTGCAAGAAATCAAACAATAAGTCATTACACAAAATGCAGAAATTAAGGATTCCTGATACCCACTGGTTTCTCCCTCTTCCTTGTCTAGCCTTGCTCTGGACCTCTTTTCCAGCTGGGCACCTGGGGTCTTTTACTTTGACAGTAACAACTAAGCAGCTGTGTTTGTCTGTAGAAGTCAATTGCCAAGATTTAAAGCTATTAGGGGCAACCAAATGGCTCTGTGAACCTTCATGTCCCCTCTGTCTGATCACCCACTATCATTAAACTTCAGAAACTCAAAGGTTTTTGAGGTTTCTGCTTGGGTTGAATTTGGCTGAGTGTCAATAACAAAAGTTATTCAGAGTGGTAATGAAGGGAATAAAGCTGGGACTGGACACCAGGAAATCTGACCCATCACTGTTGTCAGCGAAGAGTAGACTGTTGAGTTTTGGGTGTTTTTTTTCAGCAACCTGTAATTTTCAGCAACCAGAAATTTTCAGCACAAGAAGGAGACTAATTTCCCTGGTGACTGTATGTCCTTTGGGATGAGATTCAAATTGACACTCCCATGGGAGGCAGGACCAGAAGGACCCCATTTCCCTGTCTGAGGTCCTAGATGTACAGCAGTGAGACTCCTCACTCCATTCACATCCTGAGAGATACAGGAAAAAGATAGGTCTCTGCTTCTCACATATCTTGATGTCAGTGAGAATGAATACATTTTTTGGGCCAAATCCTTCTGTGGTCTAGTGCTGCAGCTGAGACAGAGTGGTGCAAGAAGGATGAAGGACTGTGGGATACAACTGTGTATGCCCAGGGGTCTTCTGAAGATAAGCTTCTTGATATTCTGGTCCAAATATTTCTCTGTTTTTCAAAAGTAATCAAACTGGTTCAGATATTTATTCTTCAAAGGTAATCAAAAGCTCAGCCCTCCCCATCTCACTGTGTACACTTGCCATTTGAATAAGACGCCTGCATTTAAGGAGCCTTGAGGATGCCTTGTGTTTTGCACTACATCTCTGGCTTGTTTAATTAGCTCAAGACTTGGTGGGCTCCGTTTCCTTCGCCTCACCGGCTATTGGGATGAATGAAGGACTAAATGGGCAAAAGCAGTGCTCTGTGGATCTGGGAGTAGAGAGACAAGAGAAAGCTGGAAAAGAAGCAAAATCATTTATACTTGTCTTGGTTGAAGATACAGTCCCTGTTGCAGAGATTCACGCCTCTTTCCCCCAAGAGAACTGTTCTGAAAGAAGTAAAGGGAAGGGAAGGGAAGGGAAAGGGTGCCTGCTGTGAGCAGAAAAAACTGAGGGACACAGTATAGAGCTCTTTGTTGCATGAGGCATATTTGCTGCAGAAAAGGTATACGGGGGCTCTTGTACCTGCTCTCCATCCTAGTACCACCACCTGCTTCAGCCTACCTGCTTCTGGACAAGGTGGCATGGTGCATGCCCTCACATCCAGAGGATGTCCTGGGTCCATCCTCAGGGAAGCTGACATTGATGTTCATCTGCAGCCTCCTACCTCTCCTTCTGCATAGCAAGATGGTCAGGAAGCTGTCTAACTTCTTTGGGTAGAACATTACTATAGTCAAGTTATCAAAACATTTGGATTTCAACAATACTGACTTTTAACAGCTGCATTAGATAATTTTCTTTATTGAACTTGGAGAGGTTTAAACCATAAGTGATTCAGTGATTGAAGGGATGAAAGCAACACAACAATGCGTTAACATCCATCCCCAGAGATCTGCTTCTCTAAAGCAGTTGAACCAAACCTGCTGAAAAGGTAGAGCTCTGAGAGGTACAATGATTGTTAAAGTGTCTTTTCTCTCCCAGAGGGGAGGATCATTTTGAAGGTAGCCCTACTTTTGCTTTAATCTGCAAAATTCTGGGATTGTTTCTTCATATACAAGATATTTAATTTACTTTATTAAAAACAGTTCAGGGGCTACATTTTAATTCTAGATATTGAATGCGTGTAGCACACACAATTCTAATTATCCCTGTGCATATACAGCATTCAGTTTGGGTATTTCAGGTATGTGAACTTAAACTGCAGATAGTCTGAAATAAAGAGAATAAATAAATAATAGTGTGTAATCTGAAAGGGCTGATTCTTCACAGAAATTTTTAGAGGATAATGCAAAATGAATTGGAGTGCAGATGCAGTGCTTCATTGCTTAGAAAGGTGCCATGGGACAGATGTCTGTCTTGGTCCTGGAGCACATTGCAAAAGAAGAGGAGAAAGGTGTTATCAAAGAATGGCTGTAAAGCAGAGTTCAAGATCATGGGTTTTATATTGCACATGCAGTGGTGTAACTGGACAGCAGAAGGATGTCACTAGCAGGAATAAAACACAAGCCAGGATTCCAGTTGGTTTGGTTTTTTTCTGAAATTTCTGGCACTAAGAGCAGTCAAAATTGAGCACTTTTCCTCCTTGTTTTTTATTACTATTGTAGTTATTACTAAACTTTGATTACTAAAGCTTTTATTTGCTTTTTTATAGGTGCTTTTCTCACCGTGCAGTCCCTTTAGATTTGGGTGTGATAACCAACCTGCACATTGGACATTTGGCTTGTATCCCCATATCTTCTTCCTGCTTGTAAGTATTTTATTCTTTCTCCTTGCTTGTTTTTCTGTTAAAGACCAGATTCAATTGACAGGTTCTGGGTCTGATCTGAGGTCATGATGTCTTTGCTTTACATTAATATCAATTACTCTATAGTCTGCAGATCCATGGGAAATGTGAATTATTGAATCATTTGAGCCTATCTGAATTAATCTAAGTATCCTTATGGCTCTGAAAGTTTCCTTTTCCCATCCCCACATGAAACCCCAAACAAAATATAACTTGATTTTAACCCGCAGCCAAGCCATCTGGGCACTTGTCCTCTTAGATTTTCAAAGACATAAATTTAAATCATATTAAATCATAATAAAAAAATGAAATTAGATCATAAATTAAAAGGAAAACTTTGCTTGTGGCAGGAAATAGTTTTTTTCTTTTCCTGGTGTGCTCTATTTTATTGAGTCAGTTGCCCACTGATCCTGTTTGCCAGACAGAGTGGTAAAGGGATTTTCTACTCCTGAAGGGTCCAACTGTAATGGGAAAAAGAAACATCCTAATTACTTCAGGTCTTTTAATTGCCAAAGGCATTTATGCAAGAATAAGAAGTATTAAGGATCATATTCTTGGTAAACTCCTACCTGCATTTTCAATGGAATAAGATGTTACTTACTTCTTTTTTCTTTCTAGAGCTACCATCTTATTTAGTTGCATGATTTTTAATTGCTATATTTTTCCAGTCTAGAGCAAATTGCTTTTCAAGGCTGAAGTGTTCACAGTACTTAAAGTTCATTCAGCCCTTCAATATGAGCGTGCAAACACATTTTTTATTGGCATTAAATACTTTGTGTTACAAGTTAGCTGGAAAGACAATATTGGTAATATAGTCCTATGTGCTAAAGGAAATAAATGTAGAAAACAAAGGCGGTGAGGGGGAAGATGAAACCAGAAGCTCACTGGCCTTCATACATGTGTTGATCTAGTGAACTCTTGCTGCCAGCTTTTGGAAGCAATCACTATGATAACAGAACTTGGGGGGGAGGTAACACACCTTTAGGGATGAGAAGGTCTCATCCTGGATTTGGCATCATCATATCACCTGGGAACCTCCTGCTCTTCCTGCCCTGATGCTGAACAAAGGAGAGGTGGTTCTGGTTTCAGCTCATGAGAGAATGATATCATTATCTGCTCACTCCTGGCATTAACTTTACAAAAGGGCAAAATGGAGCAGAGAACACACTTGAGAGTTCTTTAATAGTGTCACCTTTAATGAATGTCCTCTGCCTCCCCTCTCCTACCCAAAACAAAGAGCTATTTGCCTCATACAGAGGAAGCAATTTTTGCACAGGCCCAGAGTACCATCTTGCAACTCATCTCCCTTTCCTAGCCATTTTCTAGTGAGATTTCCAGTGCCATCTAGGATCTGCTAACCACCAGATCCTCCCCGTCATGGGCATGGTCCCAAGTCATCCATAGTGGATGCATTATTCCACTAGTGTGATGTGCTGCTTTGACCTTTATCTCCATGTCATCTGAGACACACATGTGCTAGCATGGGAATTAGATTCACAGGATGGCAGTGTGTACAAAATAATGAAGCTTGGTGGTCAGAGGCTCCCTTTGCAAGGATCCAGAGACATCTGATGTGGGCAAGCTTCTTCAGCTGTCCTGCATGGGTCAGTGAGGGACTCCCTGTCCCGCTTCACAGAGCCCTCTCTTTTGAAGATTAAATCTATCCCTTTTGTTGCACTCATCCTCTGCCTTTTTGTATACATTGGGCTGAAATCAGCCAAGAGGATTTTAAATTTTTAGGGAAGGAAGGCAGGTACAATTAACAGCATATTGAAGTTTAGCTGAATGAGGGACCTCACTCTTGTAACTATACTAAAGGCAAATTAAGCTCTCATGTTAGAAATTGTTTACAATAGGGGCTTTCTAGAATACCTTCTACCTGTAAAGAAAGTTCATGGGAGATTGTGACAAAAATGTTAGTTTATTTTGCATAAAAATGCTGGTTTTCTTTGATGTCAATCTGTCTCTCTGCTTAAACATTTTGAAGCCTCTGAAACAGCCAAGGTATTTCTCAGCTTGTAGTCACAAAAACACAGGAAGAACCAAGAAAACAAAGTCCTTTTCTATGGCCGATAAACTCCCAAGAAATTCAGTCTACCAGACTTATCTTTGCTTCCTGTTCCTCAGTTTTTAGGGTTTCAGTGGTTGTGAGTATGCTCCATTAAATAATATTTCACTGAGCCTGGAGAAATAGTTGTTCCATCAAGGTGTGTGGAGGCGTGCAATACAGATGGCTGGATGGTAAAGCATTTATGACATTGGGACTATGAAAAAGTTCAGTTTGCTGCATGCCATCCTGTGTAGTGTTGCATTCTCATTTAACATTCACCTTAGTTTGAACAAGGAGATGACTACTGTCTCAGCGATCCTAAAGATTAAATTACATATGTTACCTATAATTTGGTACTCAGGGCATATGCTCATTGTGAGGCCTCTGCTCCTGACCACATTTGCATTGTCTGACAAAATAGTTTTTATGACCAGTACTGTCAAATATGCAAACAGTGGATAGCTCTGGCATGGCTACTCAGGCATGGTACTGCACGGTACCTGGGGCTGACCTTTTACATAGTGATGCCTTGCTCCATCCCTCACCTACCCAGTTTGCCCTCCTTCTATTGAATACCTCTTTGCCTATCTCCGACTTACCACAGGATAAAAGAAAATATTAAAAACTCCAACTGAGCCTGCCTATAGTATCTGCCAGGTAGGCCTACCCTTGGGATATGAGTGGTTGTTTTCACCTGTGGAAGGTGATTTATACCGAGGACATGAATGGAGAAACAATGCACACATTGAAGAAAATACTTAAATAGTGGTTTCGGTTGAAAAGCCAGGATGTACAAATGACACCATGTGTCTAGGAGAGCCTCTCCTTGTGTGCCAACCCTCATATTTGGGGACTAAAGTAACAGAACAAGGTTTTGCTCTCTTGTACATCTAAAACCAGCAGAGCATGGAGGTAGAGTCTTTGCCTTCTTGGAACAGTGAGTTGTTTTACTGAAATGTGTGAATCTTCTAAGCAGTTTGTCCATTGGAGCAGCAAGTCTGCTGTAACAATGGAGTAATAGCAACAGGAAAAATTAGCCAGTGTCAGAAAGGCACTTGGGCCTTTTGGCAGTGGGGCAGGACTCAATGACTCAGGATGAGTCACAGAACCCTACCCTGGCACTGCAGAAGTGCCTCTGACAAAGTAATCCAGATCCAGCTACACCACAAAATCTGAGTCCCCCAGCAGACAGGTCCCAGTTCTCCTGTCCCAGGAGTTTTCAGGAGTTAGCTGGAAAGCCTTCTCCTGTCAAATAGAGTCAGAATTCTTCTCCATCTGCAGTCATTCAGGAACAACACTTTCAGTTAATTCTTTGCCTTAAACCAACTCAGCTTTCCAACAATAGATGAAGGGAAGGCAGGGACCACTACAGAATTTGAAAACTTTGGCTCCTTTGTTAAAGTCCTTGATCAGTTTATGGCTCTCACAAAGACAATGGGTTTATTGCAGTTAGCTATTTTTGCCATGCTTTGAAGTCAGTGACAAAATTCCCAGTCATTTTTTTGGGACTAGGTTTGGGCTAGATGTTATGGCGTTGTTCTATTTCACTTTCAGAAGTGCAAAAAAACCAATTACCAAACAGGAAGGTGAAGCTGACATCTGGCTTTATGGGGATTATTCCTTTGGGAGAATTGGGGTAAGAGAGACAAATGGTTCATGCCACTTACCATCTTCTCCCAGCAGAAGTAGAAACCTCAGCCGAAGTGGTAGATGTGGTGCACTGAATAAAACTAAGCTCTCAAAGGCTGTGAGGTCTAATTTGCAGCATGGCAGAGGTTTGTGCAGCCCTAGAACCATGGAGTTGCATGAGGTTCAGAATGGTGTTTGCACCCCTGCCACACATCGCTGGCTGAGCCATCCTGGCTGCTCTCTGGCAGGATCACCATGTTGGAACAGCACCAGGAATCATCATCAGGGAGCAGGATCAGATCTGTTTTATTTCTTATGCATTTTGTACCTTTCCTATGAAAACTACTGAATTGTCGGGACCAGATATGTTCACAATCTGTATGATTCTGCCATTTTACTCCAGTAGGGTGCAGATGGTTGGTAAAAATCCTTTTAGACTGAGTAGGACCTTAGACTTTAGGTCCATATTTTTAACTCTGTGTTTAAAACAACGCAGATTTTTTTTTCTTCTTCCTAAAATACTATCCACTTTAGCCAAAGCTACATTTTACGCATCGCGTCACTACACAGTGTTAGTGAGACAGCTGGAATCTAGGCCATAATCATTTGGAATCAGAATTTTTACAGTGTCTCTGACCTCGTTACAAAATGCTCAGTTAAAAGTAGCCTGGGTGATGGCGTAAGACCTATAAAAGCTCTGATTTATCAAAGCGCTCACATCTCTGCTTAACTGAGGTTCTGATTAGTCCAGTTTAAGACCATAGGTTTTTCACTAACTTCAAAAAAAGTACCATGTCAAAGTTCTTCCTTGTAGCAGGGCCAAAAGTGTTAATGATAAAATTAGAACGTAGTAGGTTTAAAATTTGTGAAAAATTTAAAGACTTTTAACTTCTGCCATGTTAAAGAATTCATGTGAATTAATTCCTTAAGTTATTATAGAGCAATTCAATTAATAATGGATCTGCTTTTCATTATGACGAGTAATTAAGGATAAATATCTCCTATATCAAAGCTTATTTTTTAAAAAGGATAAATTAGCTATAACACACTTAACTACTTCCAGAACATGAAATGAACACATATTGTTCCATTAGTTAATTTTGGATCACTAAATTAAAGACAGTTCAAAAGGAGTATAATCTCATAAGGATCTCTCTTTGTTCAGTCTGTTATGAGTTATTTCACGAGGTACAACAAATACCGTTTCCTGTGGAGCTTAATACTATTAAGGTTATAAAATTGTTTTGGTTTAGTATATTTTATGCATGAGTATGAGTTATATACCACAAGGGTAAGAATATTTTTTTCTGGTATATGTAGGTGCAGTTCTGTACTCCTGCATGTCTTGTAGGCTATTGGGATGCTTGGTTAAGACTATCAAAAGCTCCACTATAAAACAATAAAAGCAATAAACAATAAAATAACATCTGGAATGTAACCTTTTGTCCATGAAAGCATTATGGATGTGTGTGTACTAGTAAATTAATCCAGGCCAGGACATAGGCTCCTGTTGAATTAGCAAACTGACCTCCTGGCATGGTTTTGGCCAGCTAGCACCCTTCAAGCAATGCCTGGACATATTTGGGGTTAGGAGTGGCTATCTTTCATTCCCAAAGGCTGTTGTGATCTGGCCATCCTGTCCATGCAGATAAAAGGGAGTTTAGCCATCTTGGCTAAAAATGTACAATTAAATTCTACTTACCACTTAATGTAGTACTTGTTTACTCAGGCACTTAGGGCTTTTAATGGCATATAGCATAACCTAAATTTAATTTACAGTGCCAAAGTACAGTAGGTAACTATGCAAATAACTTCAGTGTCTGGAAAGCAAACTTCTAGGAATTTTAAATACCTTATACTTTTAAAGCATCCTTAGTTCAGGTTGGGGCTTTTGAGGTCACACCTAATTTCAAAAAGTGTCAGCCTCTTGAAGAAAGAGGTACTTGAAGAAAGTTAGAAAAAGTTGCACATTTAAAGGAAAAATTATAAGGCAGGTCATTGCTGGGAACAGCAGTGGGACACTCCCATGGAAACCCAGATAGATACTTGGGTGGTTGTGTGACACAGAGAAGGAGAGACTCCAGGCTGTCACATCATCACTTCAAGGTCTGATTCTGTCTCTCTGACTGATGCTGATGGTGTTTGTGCTCTCTATCATTATGAAAATCAGTGGAATTTTCCTCAAAGCTTCTAAATGTGAGTCAGAGATAATTGTATTATCACAGGGACCACAGGACATGGCGGAAACCATGGTCAGGATGAGAGGAATCACACTGGGAAGATAGTTCTATATGGATATTGTTTTCCTTGTGGGAGGAAAGCTTGCTGACTTTCCTTGTGGTGCCTTGGTATCTGCAATGAGAGGCTGACCATGAATGGATGGATGGCAAGATTGCATGTGGGTGATTATATGCAGAGAATGATCTTAATTTCCTACCTTGTGTGCAACTTGCATTATCTCTTTTGTACCAAAACAAAAGCAAGGGTTATGCCATGTAATTCAGCTACAGCATGTCAGCTTTTTAAAAGCGATTCCCCATCACCAAGTCTTCTCTTATGCTTCCAGCCTGCACCAGGGGACTGACTATGTTCGTTTAAAGGAAAGCATCCTAGCATTCCCTGATCTGCTTATCCTGTGCTACTCTGACCTTTGCCAGCACTGGAGCTTCCAGGTTCTGACAAATGGCTGGAGGCAAAGCTTTTTCAAAGGTGGGATCTCTTCCCAGTTAGTGTTTGCTGCCCTTAGATAGTCACCTCGTGCTTGCTAAGGGCTGCCCATTCCCTTAGGATTTTGATTGTAGGTGTCAGAAGCTGCATCACTTCACTGAAACCTGCCTGCCATTGAGATCTGCCATGGCAGAATTACAGCAAGATGCATTTTGATACTTGAAACCATTCAAACCATTTTAAAAATACATAGTAAGAAAGCAAGTCTGGCAGATTTTCTCATTCTGGGTACCTCTAGCAAGACACTATGGAGTAAGTGGCTAATGGATACATCATCCATTGTGATGTTGGGTGGCCTTGCTCATCTAGGTTGAGGAGCTGAAGTCTTGAGAAGGGGTTTCATTCCTTGACTAGATTTTTTCCACTAGATAAATTTGGATTTCAATATCTCTGTCCCATATAAAGCACATTTGTGATTGTGCCTTTCAGTTAAACAACTCATGGTGGAGAAGTCAATTTTAATTCATTAGGATTCAGTAGGATTTCTCCTAATCCCTGCATTTTGGAAAATTGAGGTAAGCAGATAGTTCCTAGCTATTTTTTTAAGAATTGCAGCTTTGTACTAAGGAATAATAACTTGTAACTCTTAAGAGCTAAATTGTATCAGGTGCACATTATCTGCTAGTAAATTAATCTTGCCTCTTTTTTTTATTTGCAGTTCCAAAGGATATGATCTTAAATTGTCCTGGCTTGAGCAGTAAAGGATAAATTTGTTCACTGTCTGACTCGTCATCTCACCGTTGTGATGGAAAAATGCTTGCTTAATATAAACCCTTTTTATTCTACTAAAACCTTTGAATACAAGATCTGTTGTGATTTTTAAAACACAAATCCAGTAATGTCAGAACCTGACCCTTCATCTGGATTTGTAGGAAACATGGAAAATGGGACTTTTCTGGAGCTGTATCCCACATCTCTTTCAACTTCAGTGGATTCATCACCTGGCCGTTTATCCAATGTTTATGTCTATGTTTCTATATTCCTTAGCCTCTTAGCTTTTCTCCTTTTGCTATTGATCATTGCACTTCAGAGGCTGAAAAACATAATTTCTTCCAGTTCCTCCTACCCAGAATACAATAGTGATGCTGGAAGTTCGTTCACTAATTTAGAGGTTTGTAGTATTTCTTCCCAGCGCTCTGCTCTCTCAAACCTTTCTTCATGAAACTAAATGAAAGGTAATATATGGGGAATGGAAGAGCTCTGTCTAGTTTCTTGGGGAGGTAATGCATGCAACATTCGCCTTAGAAGACTATTAGGAAGAGGAGGTTTTTTAAGTTTCCTTATTTTTTTCCCTTTTCCTTTTCTAGTCTTCATTTCCTCTTTAACTAATTTTCATTTTGGACTATGGATAATGATACTTGATCATCATTTCTTGCCTGTAATAGTGATGCTGTCTCTTTCTCACACATATATGGTATTCATTAAGAGCATTCCTGCCAAATTGTAATACAGTTTTAACTTGATGTGTCATTTTTCTGCCCTAGTTGTGACTCCTTCCTTGGTTTTGTGTCAGTAATATCCTGACTAATTTTCTTTCTCATTTTTTAATTATATAAGGACTTCTGAATGAAATCCCTATTGCAAAAGTATAAAAAAAATCTGCTTAAATTATAAATATTATGAAAATTTGAAGCTGTTGGTATTGTTTCTTTTTTTTTTTTTTTAATTTTCATGTCTTTTTTGGTATTTATTGATGTTTATAAAACACAACTAAAAACCATTTCTTGAAGAATATTGCCTGTGTTTATTTGTACTCCCAACTCGTTCTGTATAAAGTCTGTATTTCAGTTTTTGAGTCTCTGGTTAACTTAGTAAAGCAACTTTAATAACAATACTATCGAATGTGTGGAGGTATTTTTAGACCTGTTGCAGCTCATTTGCTTAATGACTTGTTCCTCCAGGGGGCAGCTTTTGCTGCTGAATCATAAATACCACTCAACTCCTTTGCATTCTTCACTAATACTGTAGCTTATTCTTACTGGATACCAGGACAAACTAGTGATTTCTTTTAAAAGACCTGCAATCAACAAATATAGTTTGCAAGGGAATAGCTCCTAAACTGTCCTTTAGGCACAAGATATTTGTACTCATGTGAGCAGGTCTAGCAGGGACAGAAATTACTTGTACTGGTGAAGACTTTCTGGGCCAGGTTTTGTCCTGTGATTTCACAAATGCACACTGGGGTGGAGCAGGGACTTGAGGATCTGGGTTATGGCCAGGCAGACCTGTGCCCTGACCCTCAGAGCTGTACCTGCAGAGGGTAGGAAGGGATGGGCAGGAAAATGGCAGTGGCCCTGCCCGTTTTCTCCATCAGCATCAGGAAAGGCCAGAGATGAGAGGGAGAGAAATGGTTGATGTTTCATCAGTCTCATTCCTTTTTGCCATGTCATAGTTTGGGTTATGATTCCCCCAGCCCAAAATGTAACACATCACTCAACTTCTGCAGTAAAATAACTAGAAGCTTTGTGAACAGGATCCTTTGGTCAGCTGGGCTTTAAATCAAGCCAAACATTCAAAGTAGTGATTTGGAATGCCAAGTGTGACCTGCTAGGACTGCAGCCACATACTGCAGTGTGATGCCTTGTTTTCCTTACTGCACTGTGTAAGCACAGCCCCATCCTGCCACTCAAGTCCATGCAACTTTTGCTCTCAGGGCAGGATCCAAGCTACTGCAGAGACCCGAGGAAGGGTACGGCGACGTCACTGCTGCTTCTGTTGCTGACATAACAGCAGGCACAGCTCTGGGAGATGGATTGGTCTCAACAGGAACACAGGGCAGCTGCCCTCTCCTTGCATGGCAAGCCTACTACCCAGCAGGCTGAGAGGTTACAGAGCTGCAGAAGACCTCCCAACCAGATTTATGCTTCCTGCAAACCTGTCATTGTGTTCGTCAACAAGACAGACTGTCATTAACTACACAGGCTTTAAAAGAGAAATTTGGAAAGCCCAGTGTAAATATAATCATTAGAAATGCAGCTTCTCAGCAAAATAACACAGATGATTCTGGAGTCGGTGTTTTCAATTTTTTAAAGTGAGTATAGAGTATGGTAAGTGATAATGACTTACTGTGGTGATTAGCTCCTTACAAAGTCAAAGAACTTGCTGACTAATAAAGAATTTAAGCCTTCAGGTTCCCTGAGTCAAACTGGTTTGATGAATATATTTATTGCTTGGAATATTTTATTCATCTAGACAAAAATTTCTTGTATGTCACTTTTCACTGTAATTGCTGTGAGAAAAGAGGTAACTATTTAAGAGGGATCAGGAAATATTATTTCCTTTCTGAAAGCTCTTCCAAATCCTAAACCTGTAGCAGAATGTATTTGTGTGTTGACTGGCAGATAAAAATTAATGAACTGTAAATCAAGACAGGGCAACTGTTCAACTATCTTCTCTTACTGGCAAAGTCGTAAATTTGTTGCTTCCTCTGCTGCAAATGCAGAAATTTAATCAAAACCAGAGATGAGACCAGAGGTTGAGATGGGTATTTGTTCCTAGCAATGTGCTTATACTTGCAGATATGGAGACATTTAATATTAAAATACAGACTGTTAAAACCCCATTGGCTTTGTTCAACTGGTTGTTGTCAAACTTCACAAGAGCAAAAAGTATTTTTCAGACTGCAAAAAGTAGCAACAATAACTGAAACCACACATTTGATTTTGCTTTGTAGTTTACTAGACGCTATTAATTTTTTCCCACTCTGCAGTGACATATGGGATTGTATAGTCGTCCTGATTTCAGCTGAGTTGCACCTGTTCTCTTCAGGACAGATCTGAGCAGAAACAAGTAGGATCCAACAAAATAGCATCAGGAGAAGCCACAGGAGAAAAGCACCATGGCATTTTTGAGGATTGCTAAGTTCTTCAAGAAAAAAAACAGAGGAAAGAAAAAACAAACCAATCTGACAACCTGAGCCTGAGTTAACTTGACAACGCTGGAACAGGATTCCTAGAGAGGTGGTTGATACCCCAAGCCTGTTTAAGAGGCACTTAGACAATGCCCTTAACATGCTCTTAACTTTTGATAAACTCTGGAGTGGTCAGGCAGTTGGACTAGATGGTCACTGTAGGTCCCTTCCAACAGAAAATATTCTATTCTATTAACTAGAGTTGCAGGATTTTTTTTTCCTATGTCCATTCCTGGGTTCCCCAGTAGAAGAGAGATGTGCACATACTGCAGTGAGTCCAGTGCTTGGGTACTAAGATGATCAAGGGATGGAGCAACTCTCATGTGAGGAGAGGCTGAGAGACCTGGGACTGTTTAGTCTAGAGAGGGCTCAGAAGGATCTCATCAATATGTATAAATACCTCATGAGAAAGAGGAAGAAGAGGGAGCCAGGGTCTTCCTGGTGATGCCCAATGACAGGACAAGAGTCAATGGGCCCAAACTGAAACACGGGAAATTCCACCTGATCACAAGAAAATATTTTACTATGAGGGTAGTCAAACACTGGCGCAGGCTGCCCAGAAGGGCTGTGGCATCTGCATGTGTTGGCCTCCCTGCAGCTGATCCTGTGGATCACATCAGGGCAAAACCAGCGGCTTTTGGCTTGCTGCTTCCTCATGATATGTTTTCTCATCCCTGGAGCTTAGTAAGCAGTATCTTTACTAGGAGGTGATTTGTTCAATAATTTGTTGCTAAAGAGCTGCTCTGCTCCCCCTTCTGCCTGCAGCCACACATTTTTCCAGCTTTTCCACTGCCTTTTTGTGGTGTTGGTTTCTTTTACAATTTCGACATTTAACAGTCAGCTCTTGCCCTGAGCCCTTTTTAGTTTTTACTAAGCCCTCTGACTTCCAACAGTGCCATTAGCTTTGGTAATAGAGGACTCCAAGACTGCATGGCATCAGGTAGTTGCAAAGTATACTTGGAAATCTATAGGAAGAAAAATATGAATAAAGCACGGATGAGGAAAGTTCAACAAATATGGTCCATTTAAGCATATTTAATCAAAGAGTACATAGTGAAGGCTGTGGTGGGCTTTATATGTAAGACTCTTGCACTGCTGGCCACCTTGGCCCTACTTGTCAAACTAACCCATCATATTCGTCTGTCCTCAACATTACCAAATTATTCCCATCCTGAAACATCATGCTCTTAGTGCCACTTAGTAACTCTTCATCTGCTGAGAGTTTATTCTACTGGAATTATTTTCACCGTTCAGTCCTTCTCTGTCTGCCAGCTCACCTGAAAGGTTTCTCTCTGTAAGCTGAAAGTCTTGTCTGGATTTCCTATAAATATCTTTTAACTTGGGAACAATTCTTATTCCTCGTCTGTGCAACTTGTTTGCCCTGCTCTCACTGTCTAACTCCATGGTACTCTGACAAGGCTGAATCCCCATGGAGCATCATGCTCTGCTATACTTGAGCCTTTTTCCTTCAGAGTCTTTTTTTTTTTTTTTTTTTTTTTTTTTTTTTTTTTTTTTTTTTTTTTTTTTTTTTTTTTTTTTTTTTTTTTTTTTTTTTTTTTTTTTTTTTTGTGAGAGCACTGGGAATGACATCTGTGTGGGAAGGTTATTTATGAGGTCCGTATACCTCCCATTTTTCTTGATAGGACTGTTTTCACTGCATCTGTTATGCTTGTCTAAGGAAACACAGTGAATCACAGCTCAGCGGCTTCCCCAGCTGAATGACCTTTTCACATCCACTGCCCTTTGTAGGCTCCCAAAGAAAACGACCCCACTCTGTGGCTACACTAAATGATCTATGTGATGCCAGTCAGTTTGACGTGCCAATGGGACCCACCTGCAGCCACAGCCCCACGCTCACACCACAGCTCCACAAAGCTCCTAGATCACTCACCTGTAAATGAGGTGGCTAAAACCAGCCAAGATGCTGCCCCAGTCTGGGGCTTGGCCAGGGGCACTTTCTTGATGACAGCTGTTGCCATAGCTCCTCCTAGCACTGTGCTTGGAGGTAAAAGCAACGTCAGCCTCCTGTGTATTCACTTCCAAGGCCAGGTAGGTGCATTACTGTAATCATGGTAATCACCATGCAGGTGACAATGAGGCAGGACCAGGATGATGAGCTATTTTTCACTTCTGTTTTCTTTGTTTTATATCAATGGGAGCTGATTACCCACTGTAAGTCTGAAAATCACAGTAGGTTGCTATCAACATGTATAGGATCTCTGGTTGCCTTCAGGAAATTGGACTGGGCTTCTTTGCATGGTTTCAGTTCACCTTCTGTTCCTTATGGAAAGCACCAACACAATGGTTGCATTTGTTTCAGTGCCAAAAGATGCAGCTTTAATACAATAGACATCTGTGAGCAGCTTCAGTTAAAAGTTCAGAAGGAAAAAAGTATACTTCCTTAAAGTATAATCTAATGTATAATTTTTACAAAAAAAACTTGGTAAGTTTTCTTTGGAAAATTACATTTTTGCCAAACTATCTATTTTTAAAGAATAATAGAAAAACTACTTGGCTGAGTTGTTAAAAATGGAACATTTTATTCCAGCTGTGCTAACATAAATATTTTTGCCCACAGATTTTCCACTGTTTAAGGTGACATAAAGTTACTCTATCCAATTACTTCTCTGCCTTATCCTCAATAAACGAGTAGGTGTCTGTCACAAATAATTTGCATGGCTTTATCTTGAGCCTGGGCTCAGCAGTTGCTGATAAGTAAGAAATAAGTGCAAAGGACATATTTATGTTGGAGATTCCCCACGTGGTTTGTTCAGGGCAAATCCTGCTCCAGCTCCCTGAATGCTGTTCTAGCACTGGGAGCTATGTGCCAGGGGCTTTCTGCCAAGGTACCCCCCCTTTTTCCAAACAGCTGTATCAGAATGCAGAAGATGAAACTTATTAAACTAGGACAAGCTGCAAACACCTGCCAGGAAAAAGGAATGATGATACAAAGGCACGCAGCAAGAACAGAAGCATGGCAGGGAGCTAAAGGAGATGCCATCTGAAAAGTATGCAAATGGATGTGTCTGAGGCAGGAGTAAAGTGAAAAAGGACCACTGGTGGCTAGAGAAACAGGTAGCAGCAGTGACAGAAAAGTATCTTCTGGTGAGAGGGGGATGTGAATTAGACACAAATAGGCAATATTGCAGCAAAAAGGTAAGGGAGGCTACCATTCCTCGTGAGGCACATTGTCCCTTTTTCTCCTGCCACGGGACCACGTGGGGACAGGTAATGGGCCGGGGGAAAGAAAGATTAGTATCTGGGCAAGTAATACACGGGAGAGCCCCCACCCAACCTGTCACACACTCCCTTCCTGCTGCTGCTCTGGCTGTTGCTGCTCTGCTCCTAAATCCTTTGCCTCTGGCTGTCACTGATAATGTCGGAACGGCCAAAGCGACACAGATATCAGACGTAGTCCAGCTGTAAGGTGAACAGGAAGCTGTTTATTGCTCTCAAGTGTTTCTTTTATACTCTTTGTACACTATCGTGCCACAACACAATTGGTCAAAAGTCTCAACCCTGGGTCTGCAGCCCCTCTTCACCTGGAGTCACAGAAAAGGCAGGGGGCAGCTGTGATCAATGGCACAGGGAACCTGGCATACATGGATAGCAACAAGCAGCAACCTTTACAGCTAAGTTTGGCTTCACCAGACACAGACAGCACTAACGGTGTGACCCAACAGGTCTCCTCATCTAGAGACATCAAGTCGGTGTTTCCTGTCCTGCCACCTGTCAATGCCCCAGCTCTTATGCTATGTAGCACTCTTCAGCACACATGGAACTAAGTACTCCTCAAAAATTGTTCTCTACGTGTCCAGAGAGGGCTTCTCGATGAGAAATACCTCTATCCTCACAGTAATTTTGCAAGTTATTGTAACACTGTTGGAAACCCCAAAGGCCTATGGCTAATCTCTACAGTAAGAAGTCTTAAGAATGAGTAAAAGATATTTTGAGTAGTTCCTTTAAAATGGGAGCTGCTTCATGATTTTCAGTTTCCATTCCTGCTTTAAGAGGTTAGTTTTATTCAGAAATTAACTCCTGAGTGAACATGTCATTGTATCTCTGCAGGAATAATTTTTCTTCATTGATTTTTCTATATTTGAGAAGCTTGCAAATACACTATTTTAAATTACAGCCCTATGTTATATTCCTGAAGAAATGTCCAGCTTTGCCATTTCAGCCATTAATATGAAAACAAGTGCTTGTGAGGAAAAAGGGTAATCCCAATGTCTGATCCCAACAGTGGGTTAAAGGCTGGGTTAGATTTGTCAGACAATTTTGTTAGACCCAAGTGGTTTAGATTTCATGGTATTTGTTGTAAGAAACAGCCAGCCTTGCTGATGTCAAGCAAAGGGCAAATCTGTGCTTTGCAGCAGGTGTGGTGAGATCCTGTGGTCTCATCCTCACCCAGAAAGGGTATCCAGTACACAGCTTCCCTCCTGCCCTGCCACATTCTCCCACATCATCAGCTCTTGCATGGGCTGGTCAGACTTGGTTGTTGCAGAAAGGATCCTGGCTTGGGCAAATCCACACCACACGTGTTTGATGGGCTCTGTGACTCCAGTAACCTTCTAAATAAGCTCCTCACAGTGCCACAGGTGTGTTTAAAAAGAGCAAATCCAGTGAAGTGTCCCTTTAGCTTGTATTATACACAAAACAAGAGAAACATCCTCTGATGTTTCTCATGACTGCACCTGTACCACACCCCTGTCAGCCCAACTGCAGTCTTTGAGTGCTTTTCTGTTGTTGTTGCCACGTAGGGTCAAATATTACTGATTAGAAGACCCTGCCATCCTCTTAAATATGTATTTTTTCATCTAGGATGCAGAGATTTCTTCTGGTTTCCATATCATAAAATCTGCAATCTACTATTGCAGGTAGATAAAAATATTAATTAACTGATGGACACTTTAGCTGGCCTCAATAGCTCAAGCTACATGTATGTCTTTTAAAGGGACCCTGCAGCTGCATGTAACCTAACCAAGCAAAAAAACTTCCAGAAAAAATATTATTGGTAAATAGTTTTAGAAATGTAGAAATATTTAGAAATGTAGAAACATTTAAAACATATTGTAGCTCATTTTGAAGGTAAATAAGATTGGACTGACAGGTTTGTAATTA